TAAAAACGATAAGAACTCAGCTAACCTACCTAGCTTATCGAAAACTGAACCTGCCCTGCACAGCGTAAAAACCCATCCTATTCTATATCTGCCACAAAAGGGGATAAATTCGGAAAAAAGGTCCTTTTAGGTAACACACACATCACATCATATCAAGATAAGAACAAGAATAGAATTGGCAACGAGACGAAAAGAGCGAAATGTGATATGTCATCTCGGCTACATGCAGATGGGTTGAGGTTCGGAATAGATGTTTCCAACCATGTTACCTTGTTTGGGGATCGCTGAATGCGCGAATCTGCCACTGTGGGGGGTCTGTCTGGGGGTTTTTGATGAAGAAAAGATAAGGGGGGTGGTGGTTGGAGAATTAAATTTGGAATTGGGAGGTAGGTTATCGTTGATTGGGGAATGTGAGATGAGAATGTGATTGAGGGGGGTCTGGATAAACGAATCGCAATCGTGAGTGTAAGATCTCGTAAACATATTAAAATAATACCGAGTAGGGTAAGAATAGCGAGAACCCTGAGAACCTACTCCATGGTCGGTTAAACTAATTCATTTCTTGGGAGAATGAGAATGTGACAAGTGAAAATGATATCTTCTCGATGTCGATATCAAGGAGAAATACATACTACCTATGCTCAAGGCCGCTGAGCGGTGAAGGAAGGGCCCCGAAGCTTAAGCGAGTCTTTGACCTTTCCCCTGAATTGCGCCCGCCATGGTGGGGCATGACCGGTTATGTTATTTTTCATATGACTATATGACTGACTATCCAGTGCATTGATATAGAGAATCTACATGTACAAGGTAATCAGATTCCTCAAGAAATTATACACACTAATTAGCAACGAACAAGCCCGCATATTCCTATCTCTCCAAATGTGGCGTGCGAAAGTTCGTTGGCTATATTCATTTTCGAAGCAAGCAAGCAAGCAAGCAAGCAAGCCAGAACATATCAAGAGCACGTTATTCCTGCATCTCTATCTCTTTACGTCTAGAACCTTATGTCGTATCCGTTTCATTTAATTCCATTTAATTCCATTTATCCTCGTAATTTTCGTTTTCTGCCGGTGATGTTATGATTTAAAGGTATGTGCGTATTCATACGAGAGAAATTGAGGAATAGTAAGATTTGCCGAATCACTTAGTACCCTATTGTATGGGACAATGCTGCTTAGACAGAGGTCTGCTAGAGATAAGGGGCGGAAAGAGGATAGATGTACCTTGAGTTGGTATATAATCTACGTTGGATTGGATGAACATACTTTGTCTCTGTGAGGGGTTGGATGACATACAGTACAAGATATCAGTGAAGTCACTTTCTCAGCTGATGATATGTCGATTTGGATGAGGTGGGTTGATGGACAATTGTGCGGGTTTTGCGTTGAACTTTTTTTCTATGAGCCGAAGAGCTTTGCACTACACGTCGTTGGTGTTTGAGCTGTTATGGTTTCGGTGCTCTGAGCTCATTCTTGAGGGATTAGTTTGCTGTCTTAATGTATCACAAATCTAGATCGTGTTTATATGTATCATTTTTATGAATGATCGATTAATACCCACGTCTCACCTTATTAATTCTATACTAAAAATTCTATACTTGATACAAAGATACTTCAGATTCGGCAAAAGTCCTGCAGAATGCGGCTGTATATGTATAACTCAAAGATGTGGCTTTTTGTTCGAAATGTCTTCATTGTTGGTGCAGTATATATGGGAAAATTTAGTGAGATGAGCAATTTGTGAAAGAAGGAACTGATTTCTTGAGTTGATGGATCTGAATTGACTGACTATTTGTAAAAGTTTTGTGCACTTTGAAATGAGGACAGTGACAGCATCATCCGTTTTAACATTCACCGGGAAATAATAATCATTCGACAAAGCCCAAAATTATGAATCACTAATCTGAGCCCATAAATACCCTCTCCTCTGTACTCCGCTTTTCACTTGCACTTTACATGATGATTCCTCCATACAAAAATCCATCTAGCATGTTTAGGATTATATTCCACCCCATTTCATGAACTCCAATCTCAAGATTCATAATTTCTCTTACACTTCTTAGACTTCCCAAGCAAACATCCATCATCTATCTACCTTTCAAGCCCAAACTCCTCAATACTATCAAACAGATCTCATCAATACAGTCTCCTTGCAGATCAAATTAGATAGGTCTTCGAGGTATCTTCTTCCCTTCTTCCATCGCGCGCCTGTACATCTTTTTCATGTGTAAACTAAGCTCGTGCGTCATCTGATAGTATATGGGAGCCTTCTTGCTATTACAGGGCTTTGCCTTCCCGAAAAGGAGTTTCGCCTCAGCTTCCCTTTCGGCTTGTTCCTCGCGTATAAGTTACTCAAATCTCACATCATGCTCTTGCGATTCATCCTCATTTGGCGCTTCGTCTTCAACATTTGTTTTGAGCTGTCATCACCAGCTCCTGAGTTCCATAAGATCTTCCCTAGGGAAACTCTAACGTTGTGTGTCAAACTAACCCGGAGCCTAGACGCATCTCGTCTAAACGATTCTCGGGTATCCTTTTCAATGATATCATAATAGACCAACTTCTTCGGCTTCTCTGGGGTCCCTTGTGTTATATCATTTGCCAACAACGCAAAAGAGTCTAAGGTTTGCTACTTGCCCAAAGTCTTTTTCCATGCTTCCATTGTCGAGAGTATTCCGTATTTGTAACTTTTTAGTTTTGCCATCTTTGCAAATTCATCCTTCCTGTGCGTTGGCTTTATCCAGCGTAGACGTCTTCTTCAATTAGGACCAATGATTTCCGAGTCCTCTCTTGTCTGAGTACAGGTTCTAAAATCTCCGGCAAATACTCGACATTAGTGAGTCCCAATTGAAAAGTGCTAATCCCGTTTTTGACACACGTAACAGAGATCACTCGATCATTACCAGACCCATGGGTAAGGATGAAGTCCTGCGGTATAACTTCTAGCGTTTCCATAAAGCTGTCTCCAGAGAGTCTTCTTTATCTTTGATGACATAGCTCCGAGTCTCTCTAATAACCGAGCATATTCCAACCCCATCCCGGACTCTCCTCAAAATCCTATTTACATCGATAACTCCAAGCTTGAGCACGCCGCCTCTCTCCTCGACAAAAGTAAAATAAATTCACCACCTCGCCGTTTTCCCAATCAAGATGAGCAGCATCATTTCAGTGCCGAAATTGAGTCCTCGTAGATTGACTTCAGCGGAGATGTTAAGAAATATACTCATGTTCTGTGGTTAGAACTCGAATGAGAGATGCGGTTGCGGCGACAAGAAGAGTGATAATTTGGAGGAGATGAGTTATCGTATGGTGATGAAGTGGGTTTTCGACTGCTTCGTATTCTTGTAGATGATGTATATGTTTTCGTACTCAATTTGTTTGTGACGAGTCTGTTGAAGATATAGATACAGGATTGATTTGATGAGATTGAGGGTGGAATGTGTTTTTGAACTTTAATTGTGTTTATGATGGATTCGAGAGAGTTGAATGAAATGGGGATGAAGTTTTGTGCAAGCGAGGCTGGTCTATTGAATAAGATTGGTGAATTATCACCAGAAACTGAACAAGGGTTTATTTTCTACTTCGTTCATTCGAATGATCGATCCGAATTAGAGGTTCTGATGCTAATTGCTAACTCATATTCTAGTGAATATTGTTGTTTACCTAGTCATCACCTTCGATGCTATTCCTTCTCTCATTTCATGTCTCAAAATAACAATGCACTCTTTATATTCGAGTGAATACTCCACCACCCCATCATCATCTCTCAATTTTTCACCCCTCATTACTCTTCTCTCTCGTCCCGAGATCTCTATAAGCCCAAACATAAACCCTCAATTCTATATTAAGGATGGGACTAAAGAATTTAGCCGAAAGAAACTATTTTTTCCTTTTTGAAACTCCAAGCGTGTGATTTACTTACTACTTACTTACCGCTACACCAAAGCGCCAGTATGCTTTTACTTTTCAATATTTCGTATTCGTTTTGGAAGGGAGTTATGTTACGGGACGTTGTATAGGACTCATTATCTGGTGATATTGGCATTATTGGTGGCCTACGTACTGTACATGCAGTCTCTGCTCACTGTATTCGAATATATATATCAAAAGACTCTTGTGCCCAAACTAGTCCCTTATTTATTCAATATATCATCTCATCTTACTCGAGTATTTGGACGCAAACTTTCTATATCCAAGCATACTAGATGCATACTAGATGCATACTAAATATGTGCATTGCATTAGGGAAAGGTGTACAACTACCTAGGAAAAATTAAAATGCCGTCACGGAATATTAAACGTGCAATTCTACTCAGTAACATAAACTCGACATCTCATTTTCACAACGCCATAGCAGCAAAACGAGCCGATAATGGATAACCCCATACTGACTACAGTTAATCCATCTTGATGGCCTGGAAACCTACTCGTACATACTTATCCGTTCATACCCGCACCTCGGAGCTCGATCAATATATCATGTCGTGAGGTTTTTTTTCTCTCTGAATATTAAAGGGCTGACATTTCCAATGTTTTGGAATTCGATGGAAAAGAAAATGCTAGTATTGTAGTAAAGAATCCATTCAGGCTCGGGTTTATTGATTCCATGATCTAGTTCTTCCCGTTACATTACTTGATTATCTTTCCGGTAAATGTCCCATCAACCATGCAATGTCTTCTCCGCTGTAGGGTAGTTTGGTACCCTTGGTTGTGCTAACAGCAAAAGGTAACCTGATATTCAGTTGAAATAGTGGCGCATCCAGGCATTAGGACGGAGACGAACGCTAAAGGCATATTTGTTTTTCCCGATCCCATTCCTCTAATATGAAAGTTCCGTGCCTTCCTATCGAGTCATTCAAGTGATTCTGGGTTTTGGGGTTCGCTAGGACGCTGATGAATTGGCAGAGGTATTTGTATGTGTTGGATTGAAGTTCACGCTCGTCATCTGTGACATCTGAGATTCCGTTTCAAGGATGGGAATTTGTGTTGGATTAAAGTTATTCACGCCCGTCTCTGTGGCATCTGAGATCCCATTTCAAGGATGGGAATTCGCTTGTTTAGCCAATTTACTTCGAACCTCATAGCTGAGAGTCCGATGGATCGGATGAGGGCCGACAGTTTGTTCCTGGTGGCATGTTAGTGGAAGGTATCATAAGTAATAATCAAAGTGAATTAGGGTCAATCAATATAAGAAGCCTGGAAAAAGTAACTTGTGTGTATTATGGAAACCTACAGTTCTCGGTTTGTCGGTCGATGATACTTTGCAACACGCCATACGTCATGGTTGATGTTCAATTGCAAAAGGACAATCGTACGACGAAAGTAAGCAATCAAGAATGCATGAAGTTCTGGCGAACTGATGACATCCATAGAGACGTCTAGAAAATTGTTTATCACTGCGTTGATCAAAAAGTGGGTTCTTCGGCCGTTGTATTGACGGTTGACTAAATCGTTTTGAAGCTTTTCTATATCTCGAAGGAAAGTGGGACTGTGAAATCTTCTACCGGTGTAATTGCTGGTACTGCCATCTCCAACAGTAGTAGTATTGTTATCTTTAACCGCTGGTATCGCCTGAAATAACCCATTTGTGATGCAAAGTATTCCTTGGTGAACGCATATTTCACAGCCAGTAAGGTTCGCAGGGCCATTGCAATATATAGAATTGTAGAAACAGGCATCGCAGGATTTTGAAGGCTGCTGGCCAGGAAGAATACTAGAAAACATTATGAAGTATAATTGCTTGAGAATGGTGTGATTAAAACTTGTAATGGTTATAACTTGAAGGATTGATTCTGCATGATTTTCGATTACGCTTTCTTTTACAAGATATGAGTCTGTGAGACTCGGAGTCATTTTCACAATAAGGAAACGACGACTAAGCAATAAGCAACGATTGAAACTTTAACCTGCAATCGAGGCACTTATTCAATCTGGATGTTCTTACTAATGATTCACTATCGTTGTTCAAAACTTTGTGGGAGTGTTATCCCCTCCATCGTCGAGATTGCCTCTAAAGAGGGGGAGGGCCATACTCCTATTGTTAATCTCCAAAAAATCACAAAATCTATATATAAAACCCTTAAATATCATAATTGCATTTCAACAATCAGTGAAATAATTCTAAATTAAAGAAATATAGATAAATATATAGTATGATTCCAAGTTCAGAATTTAAATCAAATTTAAACCTCACTTAAGCCTCTCTTAGTTCTAAACTATATACAAAATACTTTTTAATCAATAAGAAAAGAAATTCGCTGCTTCAAGTTGTACTCATCGGATTCAATTCGAGGAAAAAAAAATTGAAATCTCGACGATAGAGAGATTATAGGAATAATAGTATTTATTCAAGCTCTTACAAGTTTCTTCAATAAACTTGCTTATTCCCCTTCCAGTCGGGGATTATCAATAATAAATCAAACAATGCATTTATTATATTCCTCGTAATTCTAAAAGATTTAAAGATATATAAATGATTCCATCGCGGCCTAATCGAGGAAAGATCTATTCATTGATATAGTATAATATACATAGTGCAATATCATTCTAATTATGTTGGTAAGAACTAATAATGTTTATAGATGTAATCTTCATAAGAATGGTTGCTTCCTATACAACTCTACTTTTGAGTAAAATATAAATAAGCGAATCCTTACTCTTAGAACAAAAATCCTCCAAACATTTGGTGGTGGTTGGTGGTTGCTTGTTGCTTGTATGAACATATTATTTTTATAATTTATTTCCAATTCATTGTGAAGGAGAAGGAGGTATATTCACTTGAAATTCCGTCCCTGGCCAAAGAGAAGTTTGACATAACATAACGAAAAGATGTAAAAACGCAACTTGCAACTTGCAACTCATCTGAAAGTTTATAAAACTTGTACGTTAAGCCCAAAAAATTGTCTCATTATCTTAATAGATATTCGAGTACATATATCATCCACTTTGATAATATAATTCAGCCAAGTATCAACTCAGTTCTGAATGCGCCGTTATAGCTCGCAGGTAAATAAATTAACGACGAGTCCAATTCCCACTGCCCAGCTTTACTTAAGGGTCTCCAGCACATCAAGATTCCATTGAGGAGTATATATGAAAGTTTAATCGATTGTCGACACAAACGAAGCTGGTAAATATATCATTCGGAGTAAATTATCCAATCTCCTGATCTTCATCTACTTACGAGATATATCGTAACCCTAATTTCCTATCTTAAAATCCCAACATGAACCACAAATCCCGAGTCCTCTCCTAATCCACACTCTTGAATGCCTCCCTCCTGTAGTCTCCATACTCTGAAGTGTTTACTAAACTCCTTGAGCCAAGATTCAAAAACATCTGGAGAGCGGAGTTGTTGAGCTATGATGCAGAAAGTTGGGCTATCTGATTGACTTCCATCTTCTGTAGATGAGGATGAGGCACGTAGACGACAGAGATCAACGCAAGTTTGGACGAGAGGTGGGATTAATGCATCGTTGTAGATGCAGTCACAGGCTATGATTGCGTCGAAACTGGTGGTGGTAACGGAGCAGGTGAGGGAGGGTGTGACGACGTCTATCTCCCAATCGAGGGTTAGGGGTATGATTTTGTTGGTTGAGGGTGATTGGGCTGTTGGTGTCGAATTTGAAGAGTTGGCTTTGAATTTGCGGGATTTAGATTTTGAGTTTGTTGTGGTCGATGTTGTGTTCGATGATGTGGAAGAGTTGGAAGAGAGATTCTGGGAAAGAAGTTTGAGGATGTATGGTTGGTCGGTGAGAATGTAGGTTTGGAGAAGAGGTGATAGAGTAAGAGCTATCAAGCCGGATATCCCGCAACCTAGTTCGAGAACGACTGACTCAGGGGTGATTATCCGATGCTGAAGGAGTGGATTTCTGGGTGATGATATCCATTTTGCGAAAAGGGGAGTGATTTTCCATATAACTAGTGCCACCGTAAGTATGGAATTAAAGAAAGTGTTTACACAAACGGAAAAGCTAATTTACCTGCTCCAGTAGTTCCACCATCTCGGTTTGATGATAGAATTGTAGGTGATTGGTAGATTGTGAGATCTCGACCATTAACCGTCAGGTCTAATTCAGTGGCTTTTGAGTCGACGAATCCGAGATTCTGAGACGGAATGGTTTGACAGAATAACAGAAATGCCTCTAGAGTTACTTTTTAGTTCGTGATCTTGGCTAAATATTGAGGGGTGATTTAGGACATGGCCTCTCTATCCGAATAGTTGTTTGGTACATTTAGAAATGGGGATACGAAGTTGTGCTCAGAATCTAAGATTTGACCATACAGAAACTTTCTCGAAAGCCACCTCTGGAATTCTCAAAGCAGCCAAGAATTTCCCCCCTTTTCGGTAAATACCTCGCGCCACAAGTAAGCTGCTGTGTGACCAAGGCTCTCACACTGCCTCGTTCCAAGCAAACTGAAGACCACTTGGCCTTGTTAAGCATCCAGGAAATCATGGACGTGGACTTGTGCGTAACGTAAATATACAAAATGAGGTTGTTTGCCTACCTTCTTCGGGATCCTCAACTTCTGGGCCAAGAGAATTCAGAAATGACTGTACGCCAGTCATGATTGATGGCTGTAGGTGGACTGGTGAAACCTTTTATTAGGGAAAACAGGGCTTAATGTTCAGGTAGTCAATTTCCTATCATGTTCGTATTGTCTTTGTAAGACCTCCGGATTGGCATATATATCAGACATAGTAAATAGTGAAGAAAAAAGATCTTCCTTTTGCCATCTTCGACCCACCTATATGATTCTCACAATTTTGATAAAGCTCGAGCACTAGGAGAGCTTGAGCACTTGAGTGTTATCAACATAGGTTTGAAGGATTAACCAATTTAATTAAGTTTTCGGAGGTCGGTACCATCGAGAATTCCGAATATGAGGTTTTACTAGTCAGGGGTTGTGGATTATTGAAGCTTATTGAAGCTTACCTATCTATACTCGATATGAATGGGTGGGAGAGATGGCAAGGCGAATTTATTGACAATAATTTTGGTGAGTAAATTAACCGTGCACTAATAAATCAATTGGGTCCAGCTCTCCAGAAGGGATGATCTTGGTTTACGAATTACAGTAAAAGTGCAACTCAGCGTCATATATCAATAAAGGTGATCAATTGCCCAATTCTGTCTTTTGCAATTTCAACTTTATAAGAAATCAATACCTACATCAACCTTTTACTTGATATAATAAACGCGTATCTCTCTTTCTTGCTTGTCTCCGTCACACGAAGTTGACAATCAACAAAGAACAGGAACAGAGCTGCGCATCAAGAACTTCATATTCATTTACCGTATTCAACAAATCCATCAAATCTCAACAACTGAGCTTCATTGCTAACCACAACAAAATGTCATCGTCGGGGTCGCTCAAGAATATCACCGTTCAACCCAAGTTTTATCACTCACCACCTTTCAGTACTGCTGCCCCTGGCTACAAGCCTGTAGATGGCGAGACTATCCCAAGAAGACACCCTTTGACAGCCAACAAGCTTGCGACTAAGCCTTCCGAAGATGTTGAAACCGTTTTCGATATCATCAAACGAAGTTCCGAAAAGTATGGCAATGCGAAAGCTGTCGGAAGTCGTACGTTGATCAAAACTCATCAAGAAGTGAAGAAGGTGAAGAAGATGGTCGATGGCGAACAACAAGAGATCGATAAGAAATGGACATACTTCGAACTTAGCGAATACAAATATATAAGTTTCTCAGAATACGAGACCTTAATTTTACAAATTGGGGCTGGATACAGAAAGCTTGGGTTGAAGAAGGAGGATCGAGTGCATATTTTCGCTGCGACAAGTGCTCATTGGTTAGCATCTGCTCATGGCGCAGTTTCTCAATCGATGCCAATTGTTACCGCATATGATACGTTGGGAGAGGAAGGTCTCACACATTCTTTAGTTGCAACCAGGGCCAAAGCTATCTTCTTGGATCCTCATCTACTACCAACCTTGATCAACCCCCTCAAAGAAGCGAAAGATATTCAATACGTTATCTGGAACAGTCAGAATGAGGTTAAACAAGAGAACATTGATGCCCTCAAGAAGGTACACGAGAAGCTCAAGATTTTGAGTTTTGAAGAATTACGAAAGCTTGGGGAAGAGAACCCTGTCGAACCAGTACCTCCTGCATCAGAAGATCTGTGCTGCATCATGTATACCTCGGGCTCTACCGGACCACCAAAGGGTGTGCCGCTTAAGCACAAGGCGGTTATCGCGGCTGGTAAGTTGACCCTATATTATGTGAGATATGTACCTTGTGCTGACTAGCGCTTGCGCTTCTTATAGTCGCGGGTGTTAATGTAATTGTCGAGCCATATCTTGGTCCTGGTGATGGTCTTTTGACATACCTTCCTCTTGCACATATTCTCGAGTTCGTTTTCGAAAATGCTTGCCTATACTGGGGTGGAACTATGGGTTACGGGAACCCTAAGACGCTATCAGATTCATCAGTCAGAAATTGCAAAGGAGATATTCGAGAGTTCAGGCCGACCGTATTAGTTGGTGTTCCCGCTGTATGGGAGTCGGTTAAGAAGGGAATTGTTGCCAAGGTTAACGGGGGCAACCCACTTGTCAGAAATCTCTTTTGGGGTGCACTTTGGGCCAAGAATAATCTCTTACGCTATGGTCTTCCAGGTGCTGATCTTTTGGACACACTGGTTTTCAAGAAGGTCAAAGAAGCTACTGGTGGAAAACTCAGAATTTGTATGAATGGTGGTGGACCAATCGCCAAAGATACTCAGCGATTCATTTCCATGGCCATTACACCGATGATCAACGGATATGGATTAACTGAGACCACTGCCATGGGTGCTTTGATGGATCCTATGGAATGGACCGATGAAGCATTGGGTGATATTCCCGGTTCTATTGAAATTAAGCTTGTTGATTTCCCAGATGCTGGATATTATGCAACCAATAAGCCAAACGCCCAAGGAGAAATTTGGATTCGAGGAGATTCTGTCATGGAAGGATATTATGAGAATCCTCAAGAAACAGCAGAAGCACTGACCCAAGATGGTTGGTTCAAGACTGGTGATATTGGAGAATTTGACAAGAACGGCCATCTCAATATCATTGACCGAAAGAAAAATTTGGTCAAAACTCAAAATGGAGAATATATCGCACTCGAGAAACTCGAATCTATCTACCGCTCAGCTACAGTTGTAGCGAATATCTGCGTTTATGCCGATTCACAGAGAACCAGGCCAGTTGCTTTGATTGTTCCAGCTGAACCTGCATTAAAGAAACTCGCTGAACGCATTGGTGTTCAAGGATCTAGTGTTGAGGAATTGGTACACGAAAAGAAGATTCAAGATGCTGTGCTGAAAGAATTACAACAAGCTGGTAAATCTGGTGGATTATCAGGAATTGAAATTATTGAAGGTGTTGTCTTATCTGATGAAGAATGGACACCTCAAAATGTTAGTATCCCCCCATTCACGATTCGATGCATGCTAATATTAATAGGGAATGGTAACATCGGCACAAAAATTGCAACGTAGAAAGATTTTGGAGAAGTACCAGAAGGAGGTTGATGCTGCGTATGCTAGGAACAACTAGTTACTTACGATAACAATGTGGTGCTAGTTTACAAGGAATACGTAGGTCATGAAATATTCGTAGTTTTGAGCGTTGGTTTGGTTCGTTCTGGTGGTGGTTTGCAATGTATGATAGTCTGGCAATATGGGGTAGTATAGGCAGGCTTTGCTTATTCTACTTTAGATTTCATTATGACAGCAACCTATTTAATAATTCTATAAAATTTGATGATTTTGATACATAAAAGTCCTCTCCTATGATGTGACGATACCGGCCTTGGAATTGGTAGAGAGGAGAGAGGATAGAGGAGAGATGTTTCATTCAAAACTAAATTTAATCGTGTTAGTCACGGGATCACCAGTAGATGTCGCGATTCGCGTTTTGTTTAGTTAGGAAGTCGCGATGTACTTTAAACAAACAACCTTTTATTTTTACCCCAAATGTTTCCGACAACCTCAAACTCAATCAAAATCAATTGATTTTGGCTGACACTGACAAGAGTCAAGTCGATTGCAACTCCTTTCTTCAATAAAAGTTTCCACTCGATCATAAATCACTACTAGTACTACAATCTGTGGTAAAGAATTGGTTTGTGATCACTTTCTTTCCTTCTGTGCAAAAGTTGCGCACTTTTTCAAGCTCGCGATTCGCCCATCATCCTATCCTTCATCACGGAATTACTACCCCCTAACATCACTCTAATAGCACTTGCCATTAAAATTTACCTTCAACAGTATCATCTCTATATAAACGACATGGCAACTTTTAACAGGCTTTTTGGCTACGTCAATTACAACGCCGATGCGCCCCCGACATCGCCATCACCTCAACTTTCAGCCCAAGAACCGGCAAATCGTCAAACACTCGGGAATAAGATGAGAGTAACCAAGAAGCAACGTCCCGAATCCGCCAACATGAATAGAACTCACAATCAGGAGCCTGCTTATGAACAGCCAGCTGGATTCCCGCCCAAAAATACAATTCATGGAGGACATCCAATGTATCCAGAATATGAACAGGAACAAGAACGAGAAGGAGTAGAACAGCAAAATCACGATAGATTCGATACTTCTACAGTAGGTGAAGACTTCGATGAGACGGTGAGCCAAGAAAACTTTTCGAGCGGGCAGAACATGCCAGCCGTCGGTGTCAACAGGTTTCACAAAGAGCATATGGATGAGGTAGAACCAGATCAATATCATCAAGCTACGCAATACCACAACGCCGAAGATAGGGGTCAACGAGATGAAATTAATCATGGAAACGATTATATCGAGAATGTACCAGTACCCCATTTACGTAAGACCTTTCACCAATATAAAAATCGAGGAGTACACACACAAGCCCTTGGAGAATCTCTTCACAACCAAATCCAGACTCCAAAACCTTCATTCCAATCACAACCACCAGAACCATCAGAAACTAGCCCAGTGAAACAAAAGTTTGCTGGTCGCTTCAATCCGACTATACACGGCCAGGTAGACACCCTTACAAATCGTCCAAAGCACGTTATGCAAGCAGCTGAAACTTCCCGAAAGCGAACTCTGGACGAAGGAGTATTCTCGCCGTTGCCAAAGGCTGGGAAGCCCTCCCAAGTAGTTGAAGGCCTGGAGAATGCTATGCCTCGCGGTCCTGCAGCCTACAGTATTCCACCACCACGCACTCAAGATACGCAGCCGCCAGCTCAAATTGATGGAGCTTCTGATGATGGAGAAGAGTATTCTGACGAAAGCCATATGGGGGAGCAGCCAGCACTTCAATCCCGACCAGTGGATAGACTCCCAACAACAAACGTACAACATCAAAATGGCGACTACAATCTTACCAGTATCGGACTTGATTATGATGATGCCACTTTGAAAAATATGGATTACGACAAGCTTAGAGACGAGTCTTTTGAAGCTAGACCAGCTGCTCGTGAGCAGCCCAGCGAGCCAGACATGTCATTCTCAGAGCGCCCTCTCAACGAACGTGTTAGCCACCATGTCGAACAAGCTCGATTGTCAAATGCACAAGATATTAATAATCAGCGCGTCGCCATGGCTGAATTCTTTGGAAACCTATCCAAGGATGAATGGGAAGAAGCAGGGGAATGGTTCTTGGAAAGATTCGCAACTACCTTGCGTTCACTGAAGGATGCTAGGAAAGAAAAAAGGGAAACGGCTGCAAGATTCGAAAAGGAAATCGAGCAGAGAGAAAGGGCAGTGAGAGGCAGTTTACTGGCTTACAATGAAGATATGGAACGTATGAAGAGGGGTGCTAAGGGTGTCATTGAGGGGAAGACATTATAGACAAGCACGAGTGGTACGATCGCTGGTTGCATCGTTGCTGGTTTACGGAGTAGTCTGGGGGTACACGGAGCTTCCTCGTACTGTCTGGAAAACTCGAGGTTCTATCAGAAACAGATGAGCTCATATGAAGCTATCAAATTATGTTAATATGTAAAGGATACTAGGTATTTGGCATAGGGATGACAGCGCCTGAGGTTTGGCGTCCGAGAACGGAATAACGATATGGGTCATAATATTTCCATTTGGCGGGGAGTTCTTCGCTAGCTATTTCGAGATACCCATTTGCTTTCTGATAAATGGCAATATAGAATTTTTGCAAATGTGTTTGTGTGAAGAAGCCCTGTTTCGATGCAAGTCTGTCTGGTCTGAGAATGCATGCGTTTGTATGAAAATGCCCAGTTTCGATGCAAGTCTGTCCGGTCTGAGAATGCCCCTCGTTGTAATAGTCATCAAGCGAGAGTGCTAATCATGAACCCCTTGTATTTATTTACTCCATGATGTCACAAGCATTAGCTATCGCTCAATTAGACGTTTATCCGATTTAATCAGGGTATATTTAATATTTAATCACTTTTCGTCTCAAGATATCAGATGAGAACGCATAAGTGATGGTTATCGTGATATTTTATTGTGTTTACCATCCAATCAATGGTGTGGTATCGATACTATGCTATACATGGATCTAATGTTGTTGTTGGTGTGGACTTGTTATTGGTGGCTGGTTGGGATGGGATGTGCATGTTGTACGAGTATTATATTGTGGTTTCATTCGAGGTTGAAATAGTCTCGAGTTGTATTTTTGAGTCATTAAAATGAAGATATCGAGTCTTACTTACTTACCTCAAGCATACGTACGGTGTTTATGTTTTGGTGATCAAACCTTTACCACATGTATATTTACAAGAGTCTGACTATTGAGTCATGAAAATCCCGAGTCTTACTTACCTCAAGCATACGATAATCATATTTCAGTGATCAAACCGTTCCCACATCTACAACTCGTCTATCTTTCCCTACGACTAATCTTAGCTGCTTTCCCCTCCATTCTTCTTCCGGTTTCTTTCCCTCGAAGATCCCCCGTCGAACCCCATCTAGAAATAATTCATAAGCGGGATAATACCCATCTACGAATACCTTCACCTGTTCATCCGTCATCCCCATTCCCTTTTCGCGCCTCAATACTTCTTCTTGTTCTCGTCTCCATTCATATACGTATCGCGTATCTAACGCATCGATTTGGATGAATATATTAAAGGTATCGGTGATCACATCATATTCTCTCAATTTCTCATTAATGAAGAGCAGGGAAGATAGCGGATGATCGCGGAGAGTGGTATAAGTTGTGGAGGTGGGAGGGAGGGCAAGACTTGCTTGGTGGGCGTGGGCTATGGAGGATAGAGACAGTGAGCGAAATCCAACGCACCAGCCTTCGAAGAGGATTATTTGGATGGGTCGCTGGTTTTGAGCAGTGTCGTTTACGGTGCGAAAGGTGGGGGATCGGTCGCCGAGACCGTGGTGGAGGGATTTATCGTAGAAGGGGATGGGGGTTGGCTGGGGTGGGGTTTGGAGGAGGGTGGTGAAGAGTTGGCGGGCGAGGGGGATGTCGTGGGTTCCTGGTTGGTTGGGAGGGTGGTTAGTAGGTTTTAGGGTGTGAAGGTTGAGGAGTATATGGGAGGGTATCAAATTAGATAAATACCAGGTTCTCCTCTATATTTAACTAGTTTATTCCCTTCATTTTCCCTCGCCAATTTCTCCTGGTCTTCTCTTGTCAAATATAAATCATCGATACTCAGTACCAAAGTTTCAAGCCCGTGATCTCGAGTGAGGATTTCATATAGAGTATTAACGAGTGTGGTCTTCCCGGCTCCTTGAATGCCATTTAGACCGATAATGAAGGGGCGAGTTGGATGAGCCTTTTGATGAAGGGTTAGATGACTGAGAATAAATGGGAGGATATGAGGGGTTTTGTCGTCGATTATAGTGGGATTATTAGGAATGCGGTTGAAGGGGGGAGTCATGATGAGAGCTATTAATATTGGTGAAGATTAGAGGAGACCATTGAGGACCCGAACATGTGCGAGGGTAAGAGCATCATGATTCGGGATTGTGGGGGTTGTACGGAGTAGTCTGGTCTTCCCCCACTCCTTACGGGAAGCCCCTTGCTACCCTTACTACCCTTCGGAAATGCTAAAATGTTCTTCCGAGGATTTAATGAATGGACCTACCTAGTCCTGATTATTGGCTTCTCATTCACATGTGAACGTGAACGCGACGCGGAAAGATTCATTTACGAGGTTGAAGAATAAATCATCAATCTCCATCAATCGTGAGGTACAGTACAAGTAAGAATGTTTTCAGTGAAGATTCGCATGTGAAAAAGAATCCATTTCATCATGCCGCATGCAGCTGCTCGTCGTACCCCGGAAATGTGGAGTCATGGGAACAGAGCTCTAAGCCTAATAAGCGTGTACCGAGGCATGAAAGTTCCAATTGTCTGGCAACAAAGCAGCCGAGCCATTTCTATATCAATACCTACCCTCAATATCTGAATCTCACTGTTTTCTTCGTCAACTGATTCTTCAATTTTCTCCTCATCTCACCTCACTCATATCTATATCATCAATTCAATCAATCTTCTAGTCCATACCCGAACAATTGAGGATCGCAGATACCCCTACGAATAACTATGTCGGAGCTACGGTATGATGGTCAAGTCGTCGTTGTGACGGGAGCTGGGGGTGGATTAGGAAGAGCATACGCTCTATTTTTTGGATCAAGGGGCGCAAGTGTAGTTGTCAATGATCTTGGGGGATCATTCAAGGGCGAGGGTAATTCTACAAAGGTATCTATTCACTCCTACTATCAATTAGCCAACTTGCATTCCTAAACAATTTACTAATATCCTCCAAAGGCCGCAGATGTGGTAGTCGACGAAATCAAAGCTGCAGGTGGAAAAGCTGTAGCAAACTACGATAGTGTCACAGACGGCGAGAAGATCATCGAAACCGCCATCAAAAACTATGGCCGCATCGATATCCTGCTTAATAATGCCGGTATCCTTCGCGACATTTCATTTAAGAACCTACAAGATAAAGATTGGGATCTCATCATTGATGTTCATGTAAAGGGATCATATAAATGTGCGAGAGCAGCGTGGCCACATTTCAGAAAGCAAAAGTATGGAAGAGTTATCAACACTGCTAGTGCGGCAGGTTTGTTTGGAAGCTTTGGTCAAACGAATTACTCTGCGGCTAAGTTGGCCATGGTTGGATTTACGGAGACATTGGCGAAGGAGGGTGCGAAATACAACATTCACGCCAACGTTATTGCTCCTATTGGTATGTTTCTATCTCTTTCCGAGAATTTATCCGGCCACTAACGAAAAATAGCTGCTAGTCGAATGACTCAAACTGTCATGCCACCCGAGATTCTCGAAAACCTAAAACCAGACTGGGTTGTTCCTCTTGTGGCAGTTTTGGTACACAAAGATACTCAAGAAAATGGTTCAATCTTTGAAGTTGGAGGTGGGCATGTTGCCAAGCTTCGATGGGAACGATCAAGTGGTTTATTGCTCAAGGCAGATGATTCATATACTCCAGGAGCGATCCTGAAAAAATGGGACCAAGTCAGTAACTTCAAGGATGCCGAGCATCCCTCTGGCCCTGCCGATTTTATGGGCCTTCTTGAGAAATCAATGAAGATGGGTCCAAATGAACAAGGGGAAACTCTTGACTTCAAGGGAAAGGTTGCTTTGGTTACTGGTGGAGGTGCTGGGTGAGTGGTCAAAGTTTGATTTTGAGGGCTTAAGCTAATTTTGTTAGTATTGGTCGATGTTACTGCTTGGCCTTCGCCAAATACGGTGCCTCAGTCGTCGTTAATGATTTGATGAATCCAGATGATGTTGTTCAGGAAATTCGAAAGTCCGGTGGCAAAGCTGTTGGTGTCAAGGCATCTGCTGAGGATGGAGATGCTGTTGTCAAAGCTGCAATCGATGCTTACGGACGTATTGATATTATTATCAACAACGCTGGTATTCTCCGTGATAAAGCTTTCACCAATATGGATGATAAGTTGTGGGATCAAGTTTTGGCTGTCCATCTTCGAGGTACATACAAAGTCACCAAGGCTGCATGGCCATATTTCCTGAAACAGAAGTATGGTCGTGTAGTAAATACTACTTCTACTAGTGGTATTTATGGTAACTTTGGACAATCCAACTATGCTGCTGCTGTAAGTTTAATTTCGTGATCTTTTAGATCTTTGCTGACATTTGGAAAGAAATGTGGTATTCTTGGTTTCTCTCGTGCCCTTGCCCGTGAAGGTGTCAAATACAATATTTACGTTAATACGATTGCACCAAACGCCGGTACGGCAATGACCAGAACCATCATGCCCGAAGAAATGGTCCAGGCTTTCAAACCAGACTACATAGCGCCACTTGTTGTCGCTCTTTGCAGCGACAAAGTCCCAAAACCACCAACTGGTGGCCTTTTCGAAGTTGGTAGCGGATGGGTTGGTCGAACAAGATGGCAACGAACAGGTGGACATGGTTTCCCTATCGATGTTAAACTTACTCCAGAAGAAGTTTTAAAGAACTGGGAGCGAATCACCAACTTCGATGATGGACGATCGGATAACCCTGAAGATAGTCAAGATGGTTTGAAGAGTATCATGGCGAATATGCAAAACAAGAAGGGTGGTGCGAGCAAGGTATGAAACCTTCTCCCCATATTTATGATGGGTGTTGTGTATGTTATAGCAAAAAATAGAGATTGTTAACCTATGTTTCTTTTGCAGAAAGCCGAGAAAAAGGTTGAAATGAATCAAGAAATCCTTGATAAAATTGCCGCGGCGAAGAAAACTGAAGCAAGTGGAAGTGAGTTCAAATTTGAGGAGCGAGATGTCATGCTATACAACCTTGGAGTTGGTGCAAAGAAGTCGGAATTATCTCTAGTCTTGTAAGATGCCTGCTTCTTTCATACAAACTCGACTAATTGAACTACAGTGAGAGTGATGAAAACTTTCAGCCTCTCCCAACCTTTGGTGTCATTCCACCATTTAATGCTGAAGTCCCCTTCTCTTTCGACGAAATTGTCCCCAATTTCTCCCCTATGATGCTTCTCCACGGCGAACAATACCTCGAAATCTCCTCCTACCCCATTCCCACCTCTGGGACTCTCATCTCGTCCCCAAAACTACTTGAAGTAGTTGATAAAGGTAATGCTGCCGTTGTGAAAGTTGGAACAACAACGACAGAAAAAGAAACCGGGAGGAAAGTATTCTATAATGAACAAACCGTTTTCATAAGAGGCAGTGGAGGATTTGGTGGTGAAAGAAAAGGGGAAGATAGGGGAAATAGCACGAGAGCCTATAAAATTCCCGAAAGAAAACCAGATGTGGTGGTTGAAGAGAAGACGACAGAGGAACAGGCTGTGCTTTATAGATTAAGTGGTGATGTGAGCTTTTTCTCTTACTTTGGTATCTTTCACACGCTAATGAGAATAGTATAACCCCCTTCACGTCGATCCGGCATTCGCAGCTGTGGGTGGATTCAAAGCTCCGATTCTTCATGGTCTTTGTTTCATGGGTATTGCAGGTAAAGCCGTGTATCAAAAGTTAGTCCCTCTTTTTCATTACTCTTTCCTTTCCTTTCCTTTCCTTACCAACTATCTTCCATCATCTCTTCTAATCCTCGACCATTGCTAACGAAAACCTCAGATTCGGTCCCTACAAAAACATCAAAGTTCGCTTCGCAGGCACGGTCATCCCAGGTCAAACACTAGTAACGGAGATGTGGAAGGAGGGAGATAATCGAGTGGTTTTTCAGACAAAGGTTAAGGAGACGGGGAAATTGTGTATTGCGGGTGCGGGGGTGGAGTTGTTGGGGGAGAGGGAGAAGGGGAGGTTGTAGGGATGGAGGAGGGTGTGGGGAGGTGGGTGGGTGGATTTGGATATGAGGGTTGGGGGAAGGGGGGCTGAGAATGGGAGAGAGGGTAAATTGAATAGAGATGAAATGATAATTCATGAAGGGAAAAGTGTTTAGGTTTTAGGTTTTGCGTTTGGTTAGATATAGTATGAAATTGAATTGAATGGATTGGATTGGATTCCATTGGATTATAGTGGATCCCTCAATTTTGTGAGATGGTTAAACATCGAGATATCATGTCACGCTGTTAGTCAAGCACACAACTTAATTGAAGATGAGCAATTACTATTATTCTTCTAGGTCTTGTAGTAAGTATACTCGAGAATGGAAGTATGGATAGAGTTTTTGTTATAATCTACAATTAATTATCTAAATAGATTCGATTAAATTTGCGTAGTGAGTATTATTTAATTGTTCGTATTGTCTAACGCTCAAGCGGCGAATCAATGATGTATGTATTACGAGTAGTGATACTCGTATAGTATAATGTGATGCCAATTAACTAATATAAATACAATTACAAATACAAATATTATATTATATGATATGCAATGATTATAAGAAATACCACCACTGGCAACACAAGTAATCGTATCAGTCACGCTCCATTCTATACATCTCATAGTTAAAAGTTAGAACTGCGTAGTTCTTGTTTAATATTACAAATGTAAGTATTGTATTGTATAGAGCTAGGGGGGTAACTACTAGTTATAGGATGAGGTTTGTGGGAATGGCTCTTGATTGTCTTGATTGTAGGTACTAGGTTTTGAGGTTTTGTTATACGGTATATAATTTCAAGTTCCTACTCAGTAAGGCGAGATATATTTTCTGTAGTATGTTATGATGAGCGAGTCTGTCCCATGCATAGACATGGACATGAGCGACAGCCTTCCTAGCTGCTTTGTTGACTCTTGGGAATGATGGTTATGTTATTCAAGAACTTAATATATGAAAGATAAAGATGGAAAAAGAGAAGATGGTCAAGATGCTGAATGGAGAGGCTTATTTCAAGTACTCTTATACGAGTGCTGTGCCTCAAAACCAATGCGCAGATCCCTAGTTAGGTAAATATATAATCAATATGGTATACTTAAGTATTTCGGAGCTACATAGCACTGAGGGATATTTTTTAGTTTTGCTTATTCTCTTTATACAGGTTAGGAGGAGTATAGTTGTATTGTTCTGTCTAGGGTATCTAGTAATTAATGCGGACTCTAGGATGGACTAGTATTTTCTGAATCAAACAGTCTATGTTAAATTCAATGAAAAAATTAGACTAATAAATCTAATAACATTTGATGCTAGACTGGTTGGACCATAGTCTAGTTGATCTAGATCTTTAGTTTGATTATGATTATATATATAGAGAGCTATATTATTAATTCTTTCAAATAGTATATTTATACTCCCCTTCTCTTCTTCTTCCTCTTTTTCCTAATACCAAGGAGAAACTACTGAATCCTATCGATTTCGTAAATATCCTCTCCTCTCCTCTTCTTCGAAAAAGTCGTATTTATTCTTGTCCTGAAAGAATAATATAGTAGATATTATATAACAATACATTATACTCGAGTAGTATAAATAATATATATTATACTCAGTAGTTATATATATACTGAAAGGAATTTGATTGATTGATTGATTGATTGATTTAATTTACGTCCATCTTCAGTCTAAGACTATATAGGACGGCTAGACCCTATAGGCACTAGCAGATAACTTTTTATTTTACAAAAATAGATATGTTCGATTTGGGGAAGTGAAAACAAATGCTGGGGACCAATGCCCGCTTATTATACGCGTTGCATATAATAAGAAAATATGAATATCAAGGGTTATAAGAGGGTTACCCCTCTACCCTCTCTTTCCTCCACTGCTACTTCTTCCTCTTCTACTACTTCTTCCTCTTCAACTACTTCTTCC